AAAACTAACCTTACCACTGTGTTCGCCCTAGCTGAAAACCTCGGATTCGGCTTTTAGTTTGCCGAAATCCGTTAGGAATCGAGGGCGCTATGCACTTTCCGCCCTCGTCACCTTCTCTTCTTCCTCACTGCCATCTTCATCATCTACTTCGAATGTACCTGGCGAGCGGTCGCGCCCAGGTTCACTCCACTTTTCCTCTCTTCCTTCAGTCCTTCGCCTCCACTCTACTTCTTCGTCTCCTTATCCATTTCATCCTTCTAACTTCACTCTTCCTACGACTACCCTCCCTCCTTGTTGTCTTCATCTTCCTCGTAGATTGTATCTGGCGTGAAACCTCATCCAGATTCTTTCCATTCTCCCTCCTCCGTCGCATCCATCACTTTCGTCATAGCGCCAGGTCGTTCAGCCGTGCAATCGAACTGCTCCACAGCTCCGGTCATCCTGTGGGAAACTGCGGTAGGAGCCCTGATACTATAAGGTCCGATCAGTCTTACGGCACTACCCTCACCCGCTAGTGTTGCTGCAACTCTCTCCACCAGAGTTCCCTCTCTGTAGCGCTCGGTCCTACAATCGAGCAGCGGAACTGCTCAGCAGCTCCGGCTATTGAGAGGGAAACTTCGACGGGGACCGGTTTGTTCAGTCTTTCGCCCCTATACCCAAGTCTGACAAACAAATTGCCGCCCGTGCCACTACTAGCCTCCGCCAGCGTTCCATCCAGTTTATCCCCGCTCAAGGCATACTCACAAGGCAACCCAAGATCTGCAAAATATGCAGATCTGGGACGGCCAATTCGAGGCTTTGGGCATGGTTTGGGTCACACTGCTGTACCTTTTCAGATCGAACAAGGCCCTGGCCATCTGTAGCAACAGCAGATTTGTACTTCTCTGGTGTCACATCACTATCCACAAATTGTGCAAAAACTCTTGTGAACAAATTTTTATCAATTCAAAAATAATAAAAAGAAATAAAAAATTAAAATAGGGCATCTGCGGTCATCCTCAGATGTGACCGCAAACTCCCTTACCCCGCGGCTACACAGCTAACGCTGCTGACAAACGGGCACACACAAAATGGTACCTTTAGGACCTTGGGAAATCTGTGTGACCGGTCCCACGCCTCGCCGGCCCCAACGGGCATGCTCACACTCAAACCTCTCACAGCAGATCGCAGGTGACGGATGGTGCACCTGCAGAGAGCCCCTCCTCAGCGCCTGTGGGCCTGCTGCGCCGCCTGCTGCGTGAGCCTAGGTG